ATATGTATGTATGTATATATATAAATCAGGATAGGATGTAGGGAAAATCTAAACCGCCTTTCGAAATGCTATATAAATAAATAGATAAATAATAATCTCAGATAGGAACATAAGATATACTGATCATACCAAATACCAAATGGGGGAGGGTTCACCTAAAACTCCAGATGCCGTCAAGGGGAAAAGCAGGTTGGACCCCAGCTTTGTAATTATAGGACGATACAGGGTCCGATAGAGTATTGGCTAAAATGTTAAAATTTAATACTCGCAGTACAAAAAAATAGAGAAAAAAAATGTACATTCAGTACATTTCGGCTGTCTTAAAATTTGAACCTGTTTTGATTAAATCAATCAATTTTATTTTCTGAATTTGTATTCCTATACCTCATGAAAGATTGAATGTCATAAAGTTTCAAAAATGTGTTTTATATCTAATAAGATTTATACATTAGGTCTAACTTAACGCAGATGCCAAAATGAAAATAGTTTGAATGTATTTCTCAATAGTTCAATCTCTTTAATTTCAGTTTCTCAGGTCAAATCTATCATAGTCGATGTACAATTATTGTCAGCTGAACACGATGTGTATTAAATTACCGGAACACAAGATCATACAAGATGCTATCAGAGAGGAATTAGTTTAGTAGCCGGATTTATTATTCTAAAAATAACCGCGCGCTGATATTTATATCGCTGGATCGCCGGAATTGAATCAAATTTGCCAATCATGTTTCTTATACAACGAACAAGCAATTCTCGAACGATATTACATACTTAGCCTAAGCATTATATATATATTATATTATATAAAACTAAAATCTTTATATTCTATTTATATTACTTTTATATAGTTCTGATGTAACATTTCCGAGTATGTAAGAAATAAATGTAAACTTCAGTGCAATTTATAATACATCCTTGTGTGTACTTCCTTTGTCGTAATTTCATTAATAATAATGTTATATATTTCATGATTATTAATCATTATATAATCGAATTCAATATATTATAATCACTTCGATTCGAATATGGCTATTACAGGCTACTATATCCTATAAACACTCAAATATATTCACATGACACCAACAAATTACGGAACTTTTTAGAGCAAGGTGCTGTCGAATTTTACAAAACAGGAAATGACGTTGGTTGCTAGGCTACAACTCATGAATATTCAGTAACACCTGTGCTCATTAGACTAACAATAAAAACTTTTAGCCCAGTTTTGACAAAATCGACCAAAAAGATTTTATTGTTAGTCTAATTAGAACAGGTGTCACTGAATATTCATGATTATGCATGAGCTTGTTGCTTAGCAACCACGTCATTTCCGGTTTTATGTTTTTGTTGAGGGTGTTCTCGAAAGAATTGCTAGTTTAATAGATAAAGTAGCACATATTGATGAAACAATGCTTCACTTTTGGTTTAAGCTTATAAGCTTATTATAATAGGGTGATTTTAGCTATTGAAGTTAGTACAGTAAACATAGACATTAAATAAGATGAGAAGAAATGCACAATTCCATTTGATATTTATTTTCAAGCATTGAAATCAAGTTGTGATATATATATATATATATATATATATATATATATACATTTTATATCTATATAATGTAGGGCTATATCATGTACATCCGGCAAAAATCAATAAGTCTGATTTTAATCCTCAAAATGTTATATCCTATTATCTTACATGTCTATATTCTTTACAACAAACGGGATACTTTCTCTATTATTAAGACAAACATTAGCAGTAATAATTCAATATTAATAAACAAAGCCTACAATAATTTCTACATATTGCTAACATTATGTTTGAGATTATTGCCGAGGAAAACTTTTAAAAAATAAAATGTAAACTACATTTTAATTAATTTCATATCCATAATTGCATAATTTTGCAGGAATCTTGATGAGTGACACAATTTTTGGCTATCTATGAATAATTGGTAAATCCTGTTGCCCTTTCACGATTGAGTCTTTCATGATAGCTGCGGCCTCTTTGTCTACATCACTGGAATAGAAAAATATCGAGAAAAGATTAGGAAACAGAGAAATAATTATAACGGAGTATCATCAAAACATAGTATGTAAATAAAAACAGAGGCAGAGCCAGTAGGTTTGAAATGGAAGGGGGTGGGGGCACGGGGAGGAACTTTGCCAGATGAAGGGTATAATAGAACTTCTCAATTCTTATGATATCAGTATTATGTATGTATTGAATGTAATTTTCGTTTTTCTCCAATTTTTTACCGTTTTAAAGATTTAGGGTGGGGGAGGGGAGAGGCAGGCCGCTGCCACCCCCAGGAGAGCACCCCAACCTGAACATTATCATATTCAGTTATCGTAATGGACAATATTGCTAATACAACAAAATAGTACTTCACAATTCTTATCATATCAGTATTATCATATTAAATATTAATTATTTATAGTATCATCATACCACGGAATGATGTGAGGATTACGAAATACATGGCATTGGGTAGGAATAGTAGATCGCATTAGCGCAAACAATTTATGTTAGCATTCCGATTGTCATGGGTAAATAAAATTTATAAAAAGTGTACTACTAAATGAATATATAGATTACTATAACTATAATTTTCATACAAACATTTTTCAGGATATAATATTTTTTGATTGATTGATTGAATTTATTCGATGCCCAACATGCATACGAAAATAACAAATGGATGAGATCAAGAAAAGTAAAAATTACCGTAATGAGCATCAGGAACGCCTATTAGGCCGGAGTCCAGCCCATTTCCAATGATGTTCAATTTAAATATACACTGTCTGTCTTGAGCTGAAAGATATACAATTTAATTCTGAATAATTATATTTAAGTAAGTTACAAATTTACAAATAAATATATGAAAGAGAAAATCTCTAAACAAGGGGATGCCTAGATCCTTGTTCAGGGTCCAGGAATAAAATCCCTGGGGTGAGGTTCATGGGGAGAAATCTTACGGTACAGGATCGCCCATGTGATTTTTGACCACACTTGGATTGGCTATCAAAATATATTAGTTTGGATCGGCAAATTCATGTCGTGGAGTCGGACGAGGGAGTTGATGTTAGTTTATAAGTTATGGTAACTCAGTCTACATGAACAAGACTAGTTGCGTTTCAAGTTAAAAATAATGTTTAGTTTACAGCAACATATGCTACTGGGACCCAGACCCGGTATTTATCAATCTCAGCTTAGCAAATGTCTTAAGTCAAAAAAGTTAAGATGTCCCTAAAGCAAATATAAAGCTGATTTATCAAACCATATTAACAAAATCTTAGCTCAAAAATTGTCTTAGATGGCGCATGCGTACAGTCGACTTTTTAATTAAGCATGAGCTAAGCAATATTGATAAATTTGACTGAAAGGACTGAAGACAATTTTAAGCCGATTTCTAGTTTGATAAATTTGGTGTTGGGCCTTGCCCATGTCTTGCTCTATATGCACTCTCCAAGTAATTTCATCCATTGCATATTATTCACCTATATGTCTGGTAATTCTATATGAACTGGTAAAAAATAAATATCCGTGCACACATGGCCACATAGAGAGAGTGAGAGAGAGAGAGAGACGCTCAGCCATGTACGGCTCATGTCTGGTTTTTAAAATGTATCTGTATTTCAAATGTATTGTAAATGTAAATGTATTTCACATTTCGACTTTCTGTTGGATGGGCGCCATGGGCGTTTCCTCTTAAACAGATACCGGCAATTTAGGCCTATATATTTTCATTATTATTATTATTATTATTATTATCATTCTTATATTCTTATTAATTATTATTATTATTAGGGCCTATTATTATTATTATTATTATTATTATCATTATTATTATTATTATTATTATTACTATTACAGGTATTATTATTTTTATTATTATTAGGCCTATTATTATTATTATTATTATACAGTCCTATATAAAATGTTCAACTGCTCTGTATATTCGAAATAGGAAAATTATTCAAAAATTAATTCGAAAATGGAGAAAAAAAAAATCTAGAGCATGGACCACTGAGGTAACATAATCATAAATCCATGTGTGAAAGTCTCCCCTGGATCTCCTCTCTATTTCGAGTTTCTGTATCTGTCACTGAAACAATAGTAGCTTTATTTGATATTGACATCATGGAAGTAGGGGCCTACACATCCATGAAGATATTAATATCAATATTGATAAAGACGTTGCCATTTGGGCCTACCTCGATCACTTTCGCTTTCCTTTAAAAATTATATAGAGAATAATTTTGTAACAAATAACAAATTTAGATTAGCCTATTCAGGATTAAAAGTTGTGTACCAAATAATTATAGGCTCTTGGTAATAGATTGCATATATTGTCAAGGAAAAAACAGATACGAATCTACAATGTAAACAACGAACGGAAGGTACCAAACCCGAAGCTGCCTAATTACTGTAAAATAACGTTTTTAGCCAGTTTCAGGTCTTTGGTGGTTTGAGCGAGTCACTTGGAATGTATGTTGTTGAAGAGAATGCAGCATGTCAGTGCATGCTTCTTTGGAGAAAATTGTCAACGCCTTAAATGCGGCTGCCTAACAAACGTACTCAAAATAATAACCATAGAATGATGAGAGAATTCCCATTTAAACTAGTGAATTAACGATGCAAAATGTTCAATACTGTACTTACATTTGTTATTAATTGTAAAGTCTCCTTCGTAGTCCATTGAGTAATGTTTATATGTAAAACGCCACCTGGAGTGGTATAAAAAAAAACCCAATTATTCTTTTTCTAATGCGCCATTCATTTATGACGATAAGGATGATGAGGGTGATGATAATAATAATAACAACAACAGCAGCAGCAGCAACAACAACAACAACAACAATAATAATAATAAACAACAACAACAATAATAATAATAATAATAATAATGGTGGTGGTAATTATGATGATATTGATGATGATGATGATGATGATGATGATGATGATGATGATGATGATGATGATGATGATGATGATGTTGATGGCGATGATGATGATGATGATGGCGGTGATGATGATGTCGATAATTATTATTATGTTGATGATTGTAGGAGAAGAATTGACTTTAAAAAAACAAACGACTCCGATGGAATCAGTTTAGGCTGTTATGTGACACAAAGTTATTAATGGTCAAGCCGGCACTAATTACTTGCAATCTAAATTTATCACACTTTTAAAGTGAGGGACATTCATTTTTGTAAAGTATGCATGTGTTATTTCCCGGCAGAGGAGCCATTTATTCTTTAACCATGGTGCTGTGTCCACCCCTTGAGGGGACCGGGTAGTGGCTGTACTGGTTACCAGTATGGGCGCAGATAATGGGGAGACGGGGGGACCCATTTTGACCACAATGTAATTTCATAAGTAAAGAAGACGCCTGAAAGTTGTTGAAATGACTTTCATAAAAAAGACCCAGGTTTTAACAAAAGAGCGTTGTACAGCCAAAGTAGAGTACTGTACATCTTCTTATAGCAAGATTCCGGTATCTCTACCCACTAACATCTTAATTATCTGTAATACACGACTCGAGTGCGCGTGCCTTTATTATAATTTGAGAACTGTGAGAAAAAGTGTAATATTGGTTTTCGGAATACGAAGTAAGTAAATTAAAGTAAATACGTCAAAGACAATTAAGTTTTATTTTCTATGGTACAATACAGAAGTTAATTAGATCTCTATTATTGCCGAAAATTGCAGATAAAAGATTATGGTTATGATGATGAATTTTACTATAGGCCCATAAGAGTGTCATTCCGGCCATCTTGATATATTATTCCTCAACCATGATGGGGCTGAGGTGGGCGTGGACTCACAGCTTTGAAGTAAGTAAAAGTAAAGTAAAATACATCAAAGACAATGTTTTTAAGTTTTATTTTCTATGGTACATCACGTATATTAATTAGATCTCTAAAGTTGTGGAAAATCGATGATAAAAGATCATGAGAAATTTGTTGGCGCTTCATTTTTATTATAATGGTGCTGTGATGGTGACGAATTTTACTATGTAAAAGTGTCATTTCCGCCCATCTAGAGGTACTATTTATTTTCCACAATCTTCGCACCTCAGCCACACTTTAATTGGGCTGAGGTGGTATCTCCCCTATCCCGCTCTTATAATGGCCGGACCACTTGCAAAATGCTTCCGACGACTGTGAAGACGGTCTCCCGCACTGCTACAAGCAAGCAAGAACCTTCCGGTAATAAATCCATCTCCGCAAATTCCTATTTGCATGTTTTCACTGAGCTTTATGATCAATTTTCGAAGGAATTCAGTGCCGGTGGGTATCACTATGTGTATCAAAATATAATTAAATGTGTTAGAAAATTTTTAACCAGATCAATAGTACAGTCACATCATCCTTTGATTTAGTTTAGTTCAAAAAAATAGACAGAAATATTGAGATGGTGTTCAGCAGAGAACTTTAATTATTAAAATTAAAATGAAATGTCCTGTTATTACTGTAGGTGAATCCATAATCTACAATTCATTATTATTTAGACCTATGGTCAATATCAAGAAATTTAATGTCACCTTTTTTAACCCCCAAAATCCGGATTCACAAGTACCGGGATGGTTTCTGGTGTGAGATAGTCTCATTCTTCAAAACTTCTACATAAAAAGAATTAATCGTACCCAAATCGGGGTCCCACTCGCTAGTCATAAGGTTCGCTATTCATAAGGTTCACTGTTCATAAGGTCCGCTAGTTATAAAGACAATTGTTTATAAGGTTCACTATTCATAATTCTTTAAAAAGTCCACTATTCATAAAGCTCATTATTTATAAGGTTCGCTAATTATAATAGAATAACAGGTTCGCTAGTCATAAGGTTCGCTAATTATAATTAAATAACAGGTTCACTGGTCATAATAAAGGGTTCATTAGTCATAATCAAGAAAAGAGTTCGTTATTTATAATAGAAAAATAGGACCATTAGTCATAAGGTTCGCTAGTCATAATAAAAAAAGAGGTTCGCTATTCATAATATAAAAAAAGAGGCTCGCTTTTCATTATAAAACAAGAGGTTCGCTATTCATAATAAAACAAGAGGTTCGCTAATCACAATAAAAAAAAAGGTTCGCTATTCATAATTTTAAAAAAGAGGTTCGCTTGTCATAATAAAAAAAATGTCGCTAGTCATAATAGAAAAAGAGGTTTAAACCATAGTCAAAATAAAAAAAAGATCCAATATTCATAATTAAAAAGGAATAAATACAAATTTAATTAAATAATAGGAATTTAACAAAAGGAATTTTCTTAAATATTCTAAGTTTTTAAAATGTAAATATTAAAAAAATAAAGTCTATATTTAAACAGCACGTACAATATTTGAATTAATATACACGCGAAGTGCAATAGCGTATACTTATAATTGAATATTTTGTTTATTGACATAATCAATAAAAAAGAATACAGATAAAAACAAAAGAACTCAGGGAATGACAATAATGAAGGTGGTGGTTTCATGTGGAAAATTGTGCCAGGTGGAGTGCACAGGAGAGGGGTAATGTGGAACAGGGACGTATCCAGTGGGGGAGCCGTGGGAGCCGCGGCTCCCCCCCCCCCACCTTTTGTACACAGTGTTAAAATTTTAAAGCTTGTTCTTGAGCCAATACAAATTCTTTCCTGGGATCACTCAAAATGAATACTTCTAAAACATGTAAATATGCATCAGTATACGTTATACATAGGCCTAATAGAACACAAAGGCCTAAGCGTGATTTAAAAAAATCTTAAATCCATAAACCTCAGGCCAGGTCTTTTAAGATACAGAAATTCGATACTGTATGGTTCAGTTTCGTTTTTATACTTTTGCAAGTTTTGTTTAATAATACTAATACTAATAGTAAAAATAATAATAACAATGATGATGATGATCATCATGATGATAATGATGACGATAATAATAA